CTGCAAAGAAGAGGGGGGGCACGTAATCAGTGATCAGATTATGGGACATAAAAATCATATGAATCGACCCCTAGAGAAAACATATACTGTATATATCTCAGGGTGCTCTCACATGGAACTCATCATATTTATCTGTCCATCAAAGGGTTAGGGTTTAAGTCATGATAGGGCTTTTTTACGATGTGCTGCCATCACCCCAGATCCTCAAACCTCAGGTAGACAGGGACCCATCGTACCTGGAATTGAAAGTAAAAGACGACAGGTGAGTTCAGAATGAAAAGAGTGTAGCCGTCCAGATCGTCAGGAGGGACAGAAATGCAAAGGAGGAAGATCTTTTCTGCAGACACCAGTCAGGTCTTTAAAGAGCGCTAATGATCCAGAGATGCAGGTAGACTTCCTGTTAGTTAGCACTAACCTGAGGCCTGACACAGTGTGAAGGTCTGCAAGTCAGCGGATATTTATTTTAGAGAACTGACGGTTCTCTGCGAGGAATCTGCAGAGGAAGCATGTCAAAGGAAACAGCTGAGATATGCGGGTTTAGGGGCCGGAGCTGAACAGCGAGGATAGAGAGTTCTGGTTGGTCCAGGAGAAGTGGGATGTAGACAGCTGTTTTATTACTGGGAGTGCTGGGAGCAGAGTTTGTGAAAGACAGTAAAGGAAATGTCAGATGAAGCCGCTCAGTGGATCTGGAGGAGGATGAGTAGCGCCACCTGGGGGAACAAAATAATGTTCAGAGAAAACCATTCATCTCCTCTGTGATGAAAGTGAGGGAGTAGGGGGGGAGAGGGACAGCCTGATCCAGCGGGGGGTGAGTGCCAGACCCAATCAGGACATGTCAAGGCAAACAGCATTTTGTTCATCTCATCCGATTTATAGCCTGAATAAGATCTACTGAATTCTTTTAAATTCTCTGGTCCTGATCATTTCTTTACTCATCTTAAGAACCAAAACACGGAGAGCTTGTAGCCTAGTGGTTAGTGCGCGCGCCCCACTAGGAAACGATGAAAATGATCCGTGTTGTTCAATGAGAACTTGTTGCTCCTTCTCTTTGTGAGCGGGGAACAAAGAGCTGCAGTAAAACAGAGCGTGTTGTCAGAAGAGCATCGGTCCACAGCCACAGCCCATTAGCCTGAGCATGTAGCAGCGGACAGGAGAGGCCGGAGCTTTAATCCATCTCATTCATCACGTCTGAACCACTCCGTGTTTGCTTTCCCTGCAGAGACATCGTTTACAGTCTTCTGTTTAATCATAACAATAGTTCATAAGTTCAATGTGATTCTCTCTTTGTTGTGTTTTTGTCTTTAAGGGAGCAGAATGATGAAAGACGATGTATCTTTAACATTGTAGCTATCGTTTGTGTCCCGACCTCAGCTGCTATCTAAGCAGGAAGTGTGTCTTTATACTCACACAGAAAAAGTCATTCACTGTAAAGTTAGCGCATGTTAGCCGCTAATATCAGCTGTTGTGGAAGGGGGCGTATCCTACCTCATACAGCGTGTAGACGACACAACGTAGATTTTGTATGAATTGAATGTTGTTTGATTCACAAGTATGACTTCTTTTTGCCAGTAGGGGGCACTATGATTTTAGACGTCGTCAGACTCTTAACATCTCTGATTCAATACCTGTAGAAACATCTGCATTATTGCCACACCGTGTTCTGGGATTTGGACCATGATGAACCCTGACATCGGTCTTTAACAGAGCAGTCGACTGAGGTCGCTCTCATGACGTCCGGTGGGCTCGGTGTGATTCAGGGGTGAAGTTGTAACAGTTTTGTATTTTTTCATTTGCTTTCAAACTGCACTTTGTCAAACACATCAAAGCCTAATGCTGTCATGATTTGGTCTGTTTGTGTTGTTTTTCACAGTTTAGATGTATTTATCTTCCCTAGTGTTTCCTAGTTTAGTCTTCAGTGTTTCCTGTGTTATTTTGGAATTTCATATCCTTGTGTCCCTCTATATTCTAGTGTGTCTTCAGTGTTTCATGTATATATTTTGTAGTTGTCCTCAGTGTTTCTTGTCCTGCCTCTGTGTGTTTCCCTCCAGTGTTGATTACCCTCATTGTCTTCACCTGTGTCATTAGTCTCACCTGTGTCTGATTACCCCTGTGTCTGTGTTTCTTCCCCTCTTTGGTAGATCATTGTTTGTAGTATGTTGTTTCCTATGCCAGACCTTTGCTTACCTGTGTTTCAAGTATTTTTCTTGTGCTTTTTGACTTCTAGTTTTTGGCTTTTGAAGTAAGTTTTAGTTTTGCCTTTGGCCTTTTTGTTTATTAAATATATTTAGTTAATTCTGCATGTGGGTCCTGTTCCTTGTTTTTTCCCTGAATGTGACAAATGCCCTATGACCTGAAAGTAAGACAGTGAAACAATGGCATCCTGTAGCACGGCGCAGTGTGTCAGTATATAGATCTATTAAATGATGAAGTCATGAGTCGGCTGTGTCAGCTGCCGGAGCGTACTTATTCATTTATTCATTCATTCATTCCAAGGTTTATTTTGGGGCTTTTTATGTCTTTTAATTAGAGACAGTACAGAAGACAGAGTCAGAAATCAGAGAGAGGGAGCCCACTCAAAAACTAGGTCACTGGCGCCCCTTTTGTAAACACAAAGATAATGCTATTATATGAAAATATATACAAAGATAATAATACAACAATGTAACCAACATCATTACTTTATTCCAGATGCATCAGACAAGTTTATAATATAACTATGAGAAGAATCAGGGAAGAATCAGACACCTACTCATAATTCTTCGATAAGGAAACGATCTCAGGAGGACTGCTGGTCTCATATTTCACAGGATGCTTTAACCTCAGATTATCTTTACCACGTAAAGACTGGTGCAGAGCTTATAATGTCAAAGGTTTAGACTGAGAAGGAGCTTCCTTTAATGTGTAGAAAACACTCAGAGCAGTGATCTGACCGTCGACACACTGTTTGCATTTCTTAAATGTCTGCTGCTGACGTTGATCCTACAAATACTTTGACACTTCAGGTCAGAATAGCAGAGGAGGGTGAAATTACAAGACATCCCACTGAGAGAGCAGGGAGCTTTAAACATGGGTGAGGGATACAAAATATGGCAGAGGAGAGGAGAGGTTTTTCAAAATCCTTTTATTTTACCACTACCAGGAGAAAATTATAACACTGTCACATCATCACTCAGATCAAGAGAAGAAAATAAATAAATAAATAAATAAAACAAAACAAGTGCAACAAAAATCACAATATCAACATTTACCTGAATCAAAAATTAATAATCAGCTCTCCATCCCCACCCACAGAGCACAAAGCTTCTTCCACAGCCCACACATGATCATTTGATAATATGCAAATTCAACCTTTAGTCTGGCCTTCAAAAGTCCCTCCAGAACCAGCACCGGTTCCACACAGCCAGTACCCTGAGTATGTACAGTCTTTTTCTTCACAGAATACTTTGGCCCAAAAACAAACAATACAAAAGAGAAATCCCCGAGAGCTTCAAACAACCTTTACAAAAGGACAAACAAGAGTGAGAGCCTTGGACACTCAACAAACAGATGTGACAAGGTTTCAGTTAGTGAACAAAACAAACACTCCTCTCCCAACCCTGGATCAATGTGAACCCCATGCACAACTCTCCACTGCTGTTCTCTTCTCAACAGGCAGCTTGTACAGGGACTGCCAGCTGCCTTTCGGGGAAACCTCTGGGCCAAAAAACCTGATCCACCTCGACTCTCTCAACAACGAAGATGTAGGACCTTAACACAGGACTGATAGAGTGCTCTTTTTCCCCGAATCCTGGAACTTTTCCAGAAGAGGAGTACTAAAGGACAGCAACCCACCTCCTCTTTCCTGCCACTCCCCGAAAGATGGGAAGCTGTATTCACCCTCTTCACTCCACTGCTCACACAGATCCTCAATGTTTAGAAATGTTCCAAGTTGTTCTGGAAGTGCAGAAAAGACTTCCTCCACCACTCTTTTATGCACCCGGCTGGAGGTGATATTGGTCCTTTCTTTGAGGGCGTCCAGGGTCAGTCTTACTAGGTGACCCAGTTTTGTGCAGCCTGCCTCTCTGAAACTGGCCCGGAGACTGGCTGACTGCAAAGTTAAAGTCCTAATGAAATCATTAAAACAACCTTGTCTGATCCCTCGCCGTACAGGGATTAGCCGACTCAACCCCACCCCCATCTTCACCAAACACTGTGCACCCTGATACAACAAACTAACTGATGACACAAGACCATCACCAAAACCAAAAGACATCAGTGCAGAAAACAAATACGAGTGATCCACCCTGTCAAACGCCTTCTCTTGATCCAGTGACACAATGCCAACATTTAGATTATAGATTTTACACACATTAATGACATCTCTGATAAGAAAAACATTATCCATGATTGCCCGGTCTGGAACACAATAACTCTGGTCTTTATGGACCACACTTCCCAGAATGTCCTTTAGTCTATTCGAAAGCTCTGGAGAAGATCTTGTAGTCTGCACAGAGCAAAGCAACCGGCCTCCAGTTTTTTAACAATGCCAGATCACCTTTCCTGGGGAGCAAGGAAAGAACTGCTCTCTTACAGGAACCAGGAAGGGACCCGGTCCTGCAACACTCCATTAAAACACTATGCAGGTCAGAACCAAGAATACTCCAGAACCTCTTAAAAAAAGTCTGTGGACAAACCATCTATTCCAGGTGCTCTTCCTGTTGCCATCTGAGTGACAGCAGCAGTGAGCTCCTCCAGAGACAGCTCCCCTTTCAGAAGAGACCTCTCCTCCACACTGAGCTGAGGGAGACCCTCCAGGAGCTCCCTGCGACACTCCTGGCTGCAACTCTCTGCTCCAAACAGATCTTCATAGAACTGCATGGCACGACTCCTCATTTCCTTTGGATCAGCTGTTATACGACCTCCTGGCAGTTTAAGACATGTTAGCAGCTTCTTTTGAGCCACCGATCTCTCTAGATTAAAAAAGAAAGACATTGGGGCATCCATGTCTTTCAGTTGAAGGA